GTCTCCTAGAGATGAACGTACATTGGTGCGAAAAGTGCAAATCAATCCCAGAACAACAGCAAAGGACCTTGTGAAGATGCTGGAGGAAACAGGTACAAAAGTATCTATATCCACAGTAAAACGAGTCCTATATCGACATAACCAGAAAGGCCGCTCAGCAAGGAAGAAGCCACTGCTCCAAAACCGCCATAAAAAAGCCAGACTACGGTTTGCAACTGCACATGGGGACAAAGATCGTACTTTTCGGGGGAAATGTCCTCTGGTCTGATGAAACAAAAATAGAACTGTTTGGCCATAATGACCATCGTTATGTTTGGAGGAAAAAGGGGATGCTTGCAGGCCGAAGAACACCATCCCAACCGTGAAGCACGGGGGTGGCAGCATCATGCTGTGGGGGTGCTTTACTGCAGGAGGACTGGTGCACTTCACAAAATAGATGGCATCATGAGGAAGGAAAATTATGTGGATATATTGAAGAAACATCTCAAGACATCAGTCAGGAAGTTAAAGCTTGGTCGCAAATGGGTCTTCTAAATGGACAATGACCCCAAGCATACTTCCAAAGTTGTGGCAAAATGGCTTAAGTACAACAAAGTCAAGGTATTGGAGTGGCCAAAATTCACCCAACTTATTGTGGGAAGCTTGTGGAAGGCTACCCGAAATGTTTGACCCAAGTTAAACAATTTAAAGGCAATGCTACCAAATACTAATTGAGTGTATGTAAACGTCTGACCCACTGGGAATGTGATGAAAGAAATAAAAGCTGAAATAAATCATTCTCTCTACTATTATTCTGACATTTCACATTCTTAAAATAAAGTGGTGATCCTAACTGACCTAAGACAGGGAATTTGTGAAAAACAGAGTTTAAATGTATTTGGCTAAGGTGTATGTAAACTGTCGACCTCAACTGTATTTTCTTTAGGAATGTAGTGAAGCAAAAGTAAAAGTTGTCAAAAATATAAATAGTAAAGTACAGATACCCCCCAAAACGACTTAAACAGTACTTTAAAGTATTTTTACTAAAGTACTTGACAGCACTGCTTATCCAGACTGAATTACAGTAAGGCACTCAGTGGGATGTCAAGATCTGAGCCTTGCAGAGAGAAATGCAATGTAACAGACCATACGTTGTAGTGTTTCCCAACTCCAGTCCTCTAGTACCCCTTACCAGCACACATTTTTGTTGTATCCCCGGACAAGCACACCTGATTCTACTTGTCAACTAATAATCAAGCCCTCAATTAGTTGAATCAGGTGGTTTTGTCTGGGGCTACAACAAAAATGTGTGCTGTTGGGGTATTGAAGGACTGTTGGGGTTACTGGAGGACTGTTGGGGGTACTGGAGGACTGTTGGGGGTAATGGAGGACTGTTGGGGTACTGGAGGACTGTTGGGGTTACTGGAGGACTGTTGGGGTACTGGAGGACTGTTGGGGTTACTGGAGGACTGTTGGGGTAATGGAGGACTGTTGGGGTACTGGAGGGCTGTTGGGTTACTGGAGGACTGTTGGGGGTAATGGAGGACTGTTGGGGGTAATGGAGGACTGTTGGGGTTACTGCAGGACTGTTGGGGGTACTGGAGGACTGGAGTTGGGAAACACTGCTGGAGAATAATCTTCTTTCTACACAGAAGATCTCTTTCTGCAACGGTCTGGAATGTTTCCCTCTCCTGAACATAGCCATCCGTGTTGAGCGTATGAGAGTAGATGGGCGCCACCCAAGCACTCAGTCAGTCAGTCAATCAGAAAGTCAGCCAGTCAGTCAGTCAGCCATTCAGTCCGTCAGCCAGTCAGTCAGTCAGCCAGTCAGTCAGTCAGTCAGTCAGTCCATCAGCGAGTTAGTTTAGTCAGTTAGTCAGTCAGTGAACAGAGAGAGGAGCTTGTCTGAGTCTGACTGGGTCTCCATTGCTGTGAGTTCAAGGCCACATGCCCTTTTTCATTACTCCGAACAGACCAGCTGTATTGTAACTACAACCAATTTCCTTGCAGTCTATAAAGCTGTCCATCAAAATCATAGCGAACAGGGGAGCAGAGTGGGAGGAATGGGAAGGAGGGACATGGTGTTGGCTGTTAGAAGGAGCTGCTGGATTCAGGACCAGATGTCAGCAAGCTCCAATGGAAAGGCGGGAGAGGAGGGCAGAGGAGAGGAGAAGGGGGGAGGAGAGGAGAAGTGGGGAGGAGAGGAGAAGGGGGGAGGAGAGGGCGGTTATACAGTACATTGTTCACCTAACAGGTTTTAATAATAATAATAATATGCCATTTAGCAGACGCTTTTATCCAAAGCGACTTACAGTCGTGCGTGCATACATTTTTGTGTATGGGTGGTCCCGGGGATCGAACCCACTACCTTGGCGTTACAAGCGCCGTGCTCTACCAGCTGAGCTACAGAGGACCACAGAGGTTTTGACCTAGTGGTAGATAGGGGGAAACGCTCCATAATTGACAAGGATTCTGGCCACACTTTACATCAAGTCAACATATTGTAACTACTCATTTCAATTATGTCCAACATGGTAAACACTATGGGTGTTTAAAAACACACTAAAACGAGTGGGACCTTAACAAAAACATGTTGTGTGCATGTTACTATTATGAAAAGGAGTTGTAATTTGTGGCAAGTATCATATTGTGTATCATGTACATACTGTACCTCACATAACACTGTTATTGGATGTTCTGTGTTTCAGGATATCAACACCATTTCTGAAATCATCGACCCAAAGTCAACAACAAATGATTATTTTAAGACAAATAAGTTATAATATTTTTATTTGTTAGAATTCTATCAGTGTTTGAACATTAATATTTAGAGAGCTAGAACAAATTCTACTTTCATGGCTAGCCTTTCACATACCCATAGTAACAGCTTGCTGAGTTTTCTCTCCCCTATGATAGATAATACTGAGTGTCAATGTCATCAGAGCGCCAGTTAGCATTGAAAGTGTGCACCTTAGGATTTTCTCTGTTATGGTATCATTACATATAAACTCTTTAAAAATATACTTCTGTCAAATAACTTGACAACTACTATGTATACTACAAAAATAAATTTTCATATAAATAAATTATATGGCATACATTTATCTTTGTAACTGAAACAATATATATCCTCGCCAACCAAGACCAAATGGAAGTCTGTAGAAAACCATTGATTTTTTTTCCTTTTAAAATCCTCTAAGAGCTATGGTGAGTCTTGTAGTGTAAATGTTATATACTCTTTTCTTTCCTATTTAACATTAGTAAGCACTTTATACAGATCAAACTCCATTCATGTCAAAACAATAACTGTAATAGTGTTTTTCAATAGACATAAAAATCCCTGCATTTGTTATCCACTGGCATTTATGCCCAATAATGAAAGAAAACAATATAATACAAAAATATAAATATCGCAAATCCAACGTCGAAAAACAAAAACCAAACATTTAAAAAATGAAGAAAATAGTTGCCCGCCATGATTTCTCTCCATTACTGCCAATGTGACATCAGGAGAAAATGAAACAAATAAACAAACAAACAAAATAATTTCACGCAAGCAGCTGACACGACATATGGACAATGGAGGGCGATACTAACGACACAGTTACGACTTCTGGGAGAAAATGACACATAGCTACACGTGTTGGACAGGAAGTCTGTGTGTATGGAAGGGGGTGGGGGGGAGCTGGACAAGATGCGACTGACACACACCGGGCTGGTCGTGACGGGTGGGGGGGGGGGGCTTGGTGAACCCTGACCCCTGAGGCTTTGGCCTGTGCCATTTGGCAGTTGAGAGGGAACTTCCAATTAGTGTCATGGCGTTATGTTGTGGATTTTTACGAGGTGAGGTCAGTAGGGACGGCTGGGGCTAAATTGGGGCCAGTTGTCTTTGCTGTCGCTGAGGAGGGCAGAGAGAGAGGAAGACGAACACACACACACACACACTCACACCAATTATTGTTAGACCAGATAGTGCTTAACCCTTTAGCTCTCTGGACGGGGTAGCTTATTGGATGAAGAGGAAGAAAGAGGGGGATGGAGAGAGAAATACTTTCTTGTGAATGAAACGTGTAATGCAGTCAAGTGCCAGGTTGAGTAGGGTAGCATCCTAGGTGTAGATTATCACTAGAGATAGTACGGTTTACGGTTAGAATAACAGAAGTTGCATTCATGAGAAACAAAAAAACACCAAAATATCCTCCATAATGGCTTTGACTAGCTACCATGGATTTTGTCATCCAATTGTAATATGCATTAGCTACGGGAGTGATACTTTTACCCCCACTCATGCTACTATAAGATGGCTGCCGAGAGTTATGACATCACCAGAGAAAAGGGGAGATGGGCAATTGAGTCCGAGGGACAGCCGAGGCACACATGGCCTTTTACAGTAAAACAATCCCCAGACAACCAAACAGCAACACAGAGCTGAGAGCAGAGACAAGGCAGAAGCTACTACAGATCAGTCACAACAAACACCACTTTATGTCTTCTTCATATCTGGTCTTCTTAAATAGCACGCATAGCGTGAGTCAGAGTTCAACAGTAATTGTTTCATAACTACCACAGGTTTGTGATAAGCAAATTAATTGTTTAAAAAAGCGTACCTTTATACACAAACATACACATACACACATGTACACACATACACACACACACAATCTCTGTGTAGTTATTGTGTAATGTTTCACATGACGTGAGTGTTAGTCTATTTCTTTAGAGATGTATCCAATGATTTACCCACCCACGCACACACACAAACCCACAATCGCATTTACACACTCACTCACCTCTTTATAACGTAAAATAAACATTTGCATAGAATTATTATACAAGTTATTATACATAATTATGATACATTATTACAAAATATCTTAAGCAGCAACAATGTATGCTGAAATGTATTGTCTAGATGAAGTTTCCTCATGGCACAGATCCACAGATGAGTGAACAGTAATCAGAGATTTCACACACACACACACACACACACACACACACACACACACACACACACACACACACACACACACACACGCCATACAAAATGACGTCCCCAGTCTGTTAAAAAAGGAGTTGTACAGCTCCTACATTATAGCTACTTTTTTTTCATATTTACATGAGTGTACATCTTTTAAATATGGATAGAGATATCTAAAACAAACTTCCACTGGGTTACAGTAAGATTGAGCACCATGGCGCTAGCCAGTACTGGGTTATGTGTGTCGCTGCGCTGCGGGCCGCTGAGTGAGAGAGGGAGTCCATCTTTGGCCGTTGTACTTCTGCTCTCTTCCACTGGAACAACAGAGAGACAGACAACACACAGTTAGGAAACTGTCAGGACAACACACACATCTCACTCTCTAAAGGCGCAACGCTGAATATATTATGTTCAGTTTGCAGTACAAAAAAAAGGCTTGGACCTTTGATGGACATTTTTGCAAGTAACAAAACTAAAGAAGAAAAAGGAACAGGCACATTCAATTCAAGTCCTTTGTGGATGTAATACCAAACATGTGAATTACTTCATTGTCATGAGAAGCTACAAACTCCATTGGGGCTTACCTCAGCTTGCCCTCTTGCCACAGTCGCTCTCAGCTGCCTCACACTCCACATCCTGCAGCTCCATGGCCTCCACCTTGGCCTCCATCTTGGTTCCCCTGTGGCTGATATGGACCTCCAGTGGCACATGGGGGTCCTGGAAGGCAGGCTCGGGCTCTGCGCCCCCTGCTGTGTGGTAACTGTTTGCTGCAGTGTGTCCTGGGTAAGAGGAAGTGGGGCTCTGAGTGGGGGGAGGGGCAGAGTGGACGGCGACGGTAACCGACGCAGAGGCCGTTACCGTGGTGATTGGCTGACAGTAAGTAGGGGTGGGGTTAGGTTGGTGAGGTTGGTGGTGATTGGGCCGGGGGTTGTGGGATGGACGGGTTCTGTGCCCCGCGGAGCGTTCTCTGTGGCCGGCCGAGCCAAAATGGCCCCCGGAGCTGTAATGGCCTGCAGCCTCAGTAGCAGTTTCAAAAGCGTCCATGCGCGGGCGGGCTGGGGGCAGCGACTGTAGGTCCCTTTTGCTGAAGCGACGGGATGCACCAGGGTGGGCCCCTGACTCCGGCAGGACCGACTGACGAGAGAAAGATCAGAAAATTAGAACAACTTGTACACATCTGAGTGTGAGCATATGTCACGTGTGTGTGTGTGTGTATATGAGCATTGACGTGGGTGGGCATTATCCAAAGCACTTACAGAAGACACAGAGTAGGCCGTGGCGTCTCCTTGTCTAGCTGTCCTTCTTGGCCCTGCTCCTAGTCGCACCTCCTCTGTTCTAACAGCTCTACCCCTGCTGGTCTGGATGTCGTACTGCATGTCCTCTGCTCTCCCAGCTCTGCCCCTAGTGTCGTGGAGGTTGTACTGCTGCAGCTCCTGGCTGATGCCTGATACCGTGGTGTTGGAGCTGTACTCAGAGTCGGACGAGTCAGATCCAGTTCCTGTCCCCGTGCCGGAGGTGGTGTGGCGTGGGCGGACTGAGAAGCGGACCACGTGAGGAGGAGGCTCCGGGGAAGGGGTGGGTAACCGGCTACGCCCATCCACAGGGGTCACCTGAGGGGGAGTAATTTCACGTGAGCTCGTGTTAGAACATCCAATTAAAAGTTAGCGTCGGTTCACCAAAATATGTGTGTGTAAAAAATGTGTGCGCGTGCCATTTTAGGTCTGTGGGTACGAGTATTTCTGCTATGTGGTGGAGCCATATAGATGGCTAAACAGGAGAAACCATCTGACCTCTGGATAGGGGCCGAAGTAGGACAGCAACACAGGGAGAAGGACCAAACCATTCAGCACCCCCAGAACTGTCAGGATGGCCAGCACAGCAAAGAAATACCTACAACAAACCAACACAGTCTACTGTTAACATGGGCATGCCATTTCATCAAACACCATAGACCAACACCGCAGAAGATATATAGCAAAGAGTCACAATCATTAACATTCTGTGGTCATTTTGGCAGATGCTTTGACCAACTGAACCAATGGAACATTGGCAGCATCACATCGAAATACCTGTGACAACCACAATGAACACCAAACACAGGCATTAGAGCAAAGACACACCTGCAGAACCCATAGAGAAACAACAGTGTAAGAATGGTAGCCAACATGAGTGTGTTTGTGTGTGTGTGTGTGTGTGTGTGTGTGAGTGTGTGTGCGTGCGTGTGTGTATGTATGTGTGAAAATACAAAGAGAATACCTGGAGAAACCACAGATCTACAGGAGAGAGACTTAGACAAGGACAAACATGCACTAGATGAACCATTACACATATCTGAAATAATACTCAGACACACACACCACACACACACACATATACACACACACACATACACACGCACATATACACACACACAAATACACACACACATATACACACACACACACACACACGTTGGTTTGGTAGAAAATATAAATGTACCTTGTGTGTTACTAAATCCTGCCAAAGAGGGTTAGTCTTTAGAAAGCCGCACAGAGAAAGAGAAAGAAGCATAATTAGCTGGAGTTGGTTAATTCAAAGGCATGGAAAAAGAGTGGGAAGGAGAAAGAGGGCACTTCTTTGGGTGTGTGGTATAAGCAAACATGAAGAAAACAAAGCAGTCCGGAATGTGGAGAGGGGGAGGTGAAGGGGGGAGGAGGGGGGAGAGGGGGGGAGGGGGAGGGGGGGTTGGGGGAAGAGGGGAGCAGGGGCCTCTCTCCTCTCCTCCCCCCCAAAAAAGAAGGAGAAGCAAACAAATGAAGTGAAGGGTATAGAATTTAAACAATTTAGTCTAGGAGGAAGAGAAGGGGAACGCTGAACACCACCCCTCCCTGGCCTCTCTTTACCTCTCTTTCTTTCCCTCTTTCTTTCTCTCTTTCCCTTCTTTTCAGCTAAGCCCCTGTGAAATTCCCGGCGCTCTACAATCCCCCCCGTCTAATTAAATCTCCAGTGTATCAGGTAAGACCCCCCAATCTCCTCTCTAAATCCCCGTCTCTCTCTTTCCTTGTCTCTCTCTAACTCATTCTCTCTCTCTCCACTCCAGCTCCTTCATTAAGGAAGGCTTTCCTCCTTTCTCCGTCCTTCTGTATATACACTATATGACCAGAAGTATGTGGACACCTGCTCATCGAACATCTCATTTCAAAATCATGGACATTATTAATATGGAGTTGGTCCCCCCTTTGCTGCTATAACAGCCTCCACTCTTATGGAAAGGCTTTCCACTAGATGTTGGAACATTGCTGCGGGGACTTGCTTCCATTCAGCCACAAGAGAATTAGTGAGGACGGGCACTGATGTTGGGCGATTAGGCCTGGCTCGCAGTCGGCGTTCCAATTCATCCCAAAGGTGTTAGATGGGGTTGAGGTCAGGGCTCTGTGCAGGCCAGTCAAGTTCTTCCACACTGATCTCGACAAACCATTTCTGTATGGACCTAGCTTTGTGCACGGGGGCATTGTCATGCTGTAGCGTTAAGATTTCCCTTCACTGGAACTAAGGGGCCTAGCCGGAACCATGAAAAACAGCCCCAGACCAACTTTACAGTTGGCACTATGGATTGGGGCAGGTAGCGTTCTCCTGACATCCACCAAACCTAGATTTGGCAGGGCTTGAAAACTATTACAGACTACAAAGGGAAGCACAGCCGCGAGCTTCCCAGTGACACAAGCCTACCAGACGAGCTAAACCACTTCTATGCTCGCTTCGAGGCAAGCAACACTGAAGCATGCATGAGAGCACCAGCTGTTCCGGATGACTATGTGATCACGCTCTCCGTAGCCGATGTGAGTATGACTTTTAAGCAGGTCAACATTCACAAGGCCGCAGGGCCAGACGGATTACCAGGACGTGTACGCCAAGCATGTGCTGACCAACTGGCAAGTGTCTTCACTGACATTTTCAACATGTCCCTGACTTGAGTCTGTAATACCAACATGTTTCAAGCAGACCACCATAGTCCCCGTGCCCAAGGACACTAAGATAACCTGCCTAAATGACTACCGACCCATAGCACTGACGTCTGTAGCCATGAAGTGCTTTGAAAGGCTGGTCATGGCTCACATCAACACCATTATCCCAGAAATCCTAGACCCACTCCAATTTGCATACCGCCCCAACAGATCCACAGATGATGCAATTTCTATTGCACTCCACACTGCCCTTTCCCACCTGGACAAGAGGAACACCTACGTGAGAATGCTATTCATTGACTACAGCTCAGCATTCAAAACCATAGTGCCCTCAAAGCTCATCACTAAGCTAAGGATCCTGGGACTAAACACCTCCCTCTGCAACTGGATCCTGGACTTCCTGACGGGCCGCCCCCAGGTGGTAAGGGTAGGTAACAACACATCTGCCACACTGATCCTCAACACGGGGGCCCCTCAGGGGTGCGTGCTCAGTCCCCTCCTGTACTCCCTGTTCACCCATGACTGCATGGCCAGGCACGACTCCAACACCATCATTAAGTTTGCCGACGACACAACAGTGGTAGGCCTGATCACCGACAACGATGAGACAGCCTATAGGGAGGAGGTCAGAGACATGGCCGCGTGGTGCCAGGATAACAACCTCTCCCTCAACGTGACCAAGACAAAGGAGATGATTGTGGACTACAGGAAAAAAAAGAGGACTGAGCACGTCCCCATTCTCATCGAGGGAGCTGTAGTGGAACAGGTTGAGAGCTTCAAGTTCCTTGGTGTCCACATCACCAACGAACTATCATGGTCCAAACACACCAAGACAGTCGTGAAGAGGGCACGACAAAGCCTATTCCCCCTCAGGAGACTGAAAAGATTCAGCATGGGTCCTCAGATCCTCAAAAAATTCTACAGCTGCACCATCGAGAGCATCCTGACTGGTTGCATCACCGCCTGGTATGGCAACTGCTTGGCCTCCGACCGCAAGGCACTACAGAGGGTAGTGCGTACGGCCCAGTACATCACTGGGGCCAAGCTTCCTGCCATCCAGGACCTCTATACCAGGCGGTGTCAGAGGAAGGCCCTCAAAATTGTCAAAGACTCCAGCCACCCTAGTCATAGACTGTTCTCTCTGCTACCGCACGGCAAGCGGTACCGGAGTGCCAAGTCTAGGTCCAAAAGACTTCTCAACAGCTTCTACCCCCAAGCCATAAGACTCCTGAACAGCTAATCATGGCTACCCGGACTATTTGCACTGCCCCCCCACCCCATCTTTTTACGCTGCAGCTACTCTGTTAATTATTTATGCATAGTCACTTTAACTCTACCCACATGTACATATTACTTCAACTACCTCAACTAGCTGGTGCCCCCGCACATTGACTCTGCACCGGTACCCCCCTGTATATATAGCCTCCCTACTGTTATTTTATTTTACTTCTGCTCTTTTTTTTCTCAACACTTTTTTGTTGTTGTTTTATTTTACTTTTTTATTAAAAATAAATGCACTGATGGTTAAGGGCTTTAAGTAAGCATTTCACTGTAATGTCTGCACCTGTTGTATTCGGTGCATGTGGCCAATAACATTTGATTTGATTTGATTTGTCTGTCGGACTGCCAGATGGTGAAGCGTGATTCATCACTCCAGAGAACACGTTTCCACTGCTCCAGAGTCCAATGGCGACAAACTTTACACCACTCCAGCTGACGCTTGGCATTGCGCATGGTGATCTTAGGCTTGTGTGCAACTCAATATTAGGTAGGTGTTCTTAATGTGTACAGATGTAGGATCTTGATTTGAGACAGTTTGCTATAGCAGGAAAATAATCCTGCAGCAACAGAAAATGTAAATTATTATGTTGATTATAATTAATGGAGATTTTTTGTAGGGATTGATACATTTCTTGTCAGGGCAAATCAAGTCTGACATTTTAAAGTGGAAATTACCAACTTTAGAAGCCTTTTAAAACCTCGAATACACTGAGTGATCAAATTAAGATCCTACATCTCTATGGACAGGTGGGGACCTGATCCTAGATCAGCACTCTGAGAGGCTTTGTGGATACGGGCCCTGGACATGCCTTCATCCAGTTGTTAAGTTGTTCATCCCAGAAGCGGTTCTGTTACAATGTCCAGTCACATTGGCTCCCGCCAGCTGGTATGCTACACAGCTGGGCCTCAGACTAAACGCACTGACACATTTATAACTGATCTGCGTGTGTGTTAGTGTGCATGAAATGTGTGTGTATATATGATTCAGTATGTGTGTGCATCTATGCGTCTATGCGTCTGTGTGTGTGTGTGTGTGTGTGTGTCTGTCGGCCGGAGTGGAGCAGGAATTCCAGTGTAGGGTCTTCATAGGTTAACAGAGCATGGGGAGAACCAATCCATATCCAGACAGTATGGTTGGCCTACTATCCTACACTGTCTGTCTGTCTGTCTGTCTGTCTGTCTGTCTGTCTGTCTGTCTGTCCTCCATGAATGATGGAGAGAGAAATAGAGAGAGAGAAGAGAAGAGAAGAGATGAGAAGAGAAGAGAAGAGAAGAGAAGAGAAGAGAGAGAGCTGCTGGTTCTGTTTGCCCAGTGAAGTAGCATCAATAAACAGGCCTTATTTAGGCAGGCTATGGCTGGGGACAGGAGGCTGGGGATACAGTGAGGGAGGCTGGGGCTACAGTCAGGTAGTCTGGGGCTACAGTGATGGGGACCTGGGGATACAGTGAGGGGGAGGGTGGGGATACAGTGAGGGTGGGATACAGTGAGGGAGACTGGGGCTACAGTGATGGGGCCTGGGGATAAAGTAAGGGAGGATGGGGATACTGTGAGGGGGTATGGGGATACAGTGAGGTGGCTGGGGATACTGTGAGGGGGGCTGAGGATACAGTGAGGGGGGCTGAGGATAGTGAGGGGTGCTGGGGCTACAGTGAGGGAAGCTGGGGAACAGTGAGGGGGTATGGGGGATGTGAGGGGGTATACTCTCCCCTCCCCTCTTCACCTTTCTCTCCTTCTAACCCTCCAACCCTTTTGTCTCTCAAGGACCGACCAGCAGTACGAAGCTCCGCAGAGCTCTCCTCATCGCTTCCTCCTCTTCCTCTCCTCTCCTCTCCTCTCCTCTCCTCTCCTCTCCTCTCCTCTCCTCTCTGTTGGTATCTCTCTACACTTTGAGAGGGGGAAAGTAGCTGATGTCACAGAGCTTCTGCCTTGGTTTAAAGCCACATCTCCACTGGAACACACACACACAGCGCTGGAGCTGTTTGGAGTGAAAACATTTGTGGGGTTGACAGGGAAAGTCAAGGCAACATTTCTTTCAGCATGAGCAGAAAAATAAGAGCAGGCTGTGTTGTTATTCTGCAGTCTTCAGGCACTGCTTTGTTTGGGGAAAAAACACCCCATACTTCAAATGGCCTCAGACAGATCCTGAGAGCAGCGGGAACCAGAGGAGGGGAGGAGAGAAGGAAGGGTTAGTGTGTGGGTGTGTGTGTGCACTCTCACTCCCAGGCACGTCATCGTTGACCCCCATGATTATATGGTCAGGGAGCAGGGCGGTGTGTCTGTGTGTCTGTGTGTTTTCAGACCACATGGATGGAGGTGGCCCGCTTAAAGGGATAGATCACCCACATTACAAAGCTACCTCATTTAAAGGGATTTTTGTCCTTTATCTACTTCCCCAGAGTCATGTGAACTTGTGGATACCATTTTTATGTCTTTGCTTGCAGTTTGAAGGAAGTTGCTAACTAGCGTTAGCGCAATCGGTAATTAGCGTTAACACAATGACTGGAAGTCTAAGGTAATTGCAGGCATGCTAGTAGATACCATAGACCAGGGTTTCCCAAAGTCGGTCCTGTGGCCCCCCCCGGGTGCACGTTTTTTTTTTTGCCCTAGCACTACACAGCTGATTCAAATAACCAACTCATCATCAACCTTTGATTATTTGTGTAATGCTAAGGAAAAAACCAAAACGTTCACTCATTGCCAAAACGCTGAAGTATCCCTTTAATGGCTACCTAGACAGTAGTCTGCAGATGTAACATAGCCAGTGTTCCAATATGCTTAGCACTTAGTAATAGGAACTCTGGCTCACCTCTGTTTTTCTCATACTATAGAAGGGTAGGAATGACTAATGTTCTCATTTGCGTGCCCACACAAACATGCATGCACACACACGCGCGCGCGCACACACAGTGTGTCAGTTTTAATTTCCACTTCTCCCGTCCTACCCCCCCCCCCCCCCCCCCCACCCCCCCCCCCCCCCCCCCCCCCCCCGTAGCTGTAGGAGATTACAAAAGCCAGAAGACTTTCCAGCTCTCTCTTTTCCTCTCTCTCTCCCCTCATCCATCTCCTTCCCCTCCTGTCTTCCTCTCTGCCCTTCACCACTCTATCCTGCCCCCAGTTTCCTCTAAGACCGTCAACTACAGTAGATTTTAGTGTTGTGTGTGTGTGTGTGTGAGAGACAGAAAGAGAGAGGAGAGGAGGTATACTGTTGTTAAAAAAAAAAAGAGACGGAAGGGTGGAGAAAGAGTAGAAAAGGATGGAGGGAAAAGCTTCACGGATGAGTGGTGTTTCAGGTAGATTCCTGTGTGAAATACAGGCTTTACTGACGCCAAGACGCCACACCACAGACAGAGAGAGAGAGAGAGAGAGAGAGAGAGAGAGAGAATGAGTCTCTGCATGAGTGTGTGCATGTGTGTATGTGAGTTAGGATGTAGTCTTTGTGCATGAGTGTGTGTGTGTGTGTGTGTGTGTGTCCCACTCACCTGACGATGAAGTCAAACTCGGAGCCTGCTAGCATGAGGACTCCTAGTAGAGTAGAGAAGGCTCCGTCCAAAACCGGAGCAAACATGTGTTCTAATGCCAGCACTGCCCGCCTGTTACGGTCCCCTATCGCTGTGAGGAATGCCTGAAACATCCACACACACACTTTACTCAGACAAACGATCTTGTCATTTGTAAAAGCACAATACACTTTCTGCATGTGTGTGTGTGTGTGTGTGTGTTTTTGTGTGTGTGCATGTGTGTACTTACCAGAGCCACATGGACAGTAAACTCTACTCCAATGCCCACAGAGGCGATGAGGATGACCACAGGAACAGCACTGAGCTTGATCCCTATCAGCCCCATCATACCAAACAACTCCACGGTCATCAGAGACAGGACCAGGACCTGAAACAGACAGGCCGCAACACAACCATTAATAACCATTAGTGACCATGTACAGTTTTAACCCAGAGAACAACCCCAGTATGAACCAAAACAGCTCCACGGTCATCAGAGACAGGACCAGGATACAGAGAGTCAGGACCCCAACATGACCGTTAATGACTGTTCTCTCCAATGGTTAGAATAAACGGGAACCCACCTATCAAGCATGAACTGGTGCAGAAAGTACTGAGAGAGACAACTTGAATGTGTGTGTGTGTGTGTTTCTGGTTTTACTGTCCCTGTGGGGACCAGAAGTCCTCACAAGGATAGTAAAACAACGAACATTTTGACAGTTGGGGACATTTCACCGGTCCCCACAAGGAAAAAAGCTATTTTAGGCATAGGGGTTAGGTTTAGGGTTAGAATTAGGGGTTAGGTTTAGGGTTAGGAGTTAGGGTTAGGGGTTTGAGTTTAAGGTTAGTGCTAGGGTTAGGGTTAGGTTAAGGGTTAGGTTTAGGGGTTAGGGAAAATATGATTTTGAATGGGAATCAATTGTTTGGTCCCCACAAGGAGAGTAAAACAAACGTGTGTGTGTGTGTGTGTAGGTTTGTGAGGAGTGGGACAGGAGCTGAGGAGTAAATGCTATTATAGGTTGACAGGTCTCGAGTTACAGGGGGGCCCCAGCCCTTTGAAGATGGCTGAGGTGGGTGGAGGATGGAACGCCTGTGTGTGTGTATGTGCGTGTGTGTGTGGCCTTGGGGTAAGGGTTTGGCTATGGAGGTTAGGAGGTAGGGGATAAGGGGTGTAGGGTAGGGTACTGGTGGCCTGGTCTGGACCAAGCAAATGGTTCAACTTGAAGCCGTGCCATAACTAGTCCTTTCATCTGGCTTGTAAAGCCAGAGGATGAACAAGAGGTCCCCTCGCCTTGCGTTAGAGGGCGCAGGTGGCCCAAACATTGCCTGTCGTAAAAACACAACCCGTGGAGAGACAGAGCAGGGCTGTGTGAGTGTATGTGTTTATATGTGTGTGCCCTTGGAAACTCCTACATTACATGTGTATGAGAAAAATATGGGAAAAGGGGTGGTTTTTTTGGTGGGAGTGGGGGTTGCCTTGGTAACTTGTGTCCTATCCCCATTTATTTGAAGTCAGTGTCTGGGAGAGACAGAGTAGACTAAACAGCACAAGATAAACACTGGGTCGGGACTGGGCTAGAAAAACACACAGCAGCCTGATCTCCTCTCCTCTCCCCATCTCCCCACTCCTCTCCTCAGCTCCCCCTTTCTCCTCTCCTCCCTTCTCTCGCCTCCACTCACCACTGCCCTCCTGTATCTCCTTTCCACACTCCCACAGCCGCACAGTGCATGGGAGTGGAGGTTTAAAACGGATGGTTTGGAACGTACTGTATTAAGGGAATCTCTTTTTTAGAGGATTTTAATCTTACAGCTTGATGAAATTGACTTTATTTCAAACATACTGATGTATAATATCAACACAAATGCTGCAAATATATCCAATGTAAAAATATTGCAGCTTCAGAATGTGCATTGTGTGTGCCTGCGTGCGTGCATTGTGTCTTTGTGTGTGTGTGTGTGTGTGTGTGTGTGTGTGTGTATATCTCTGTGTGTGTACTCACGATGATACCGGCGGTCCAGGGGTTGAGCAGGAAGAGGGCACAGACGAGGAAGGTGCAGGCTAGCACCACGCTGATGGAGAGCAGCAGCCAGTGTCTGAGGCCTACGTACTGCTCCCAGAAGAGGAAGGGGTAGCCGTTGGGGTAGCTGGGCAGGCCCTGGCGGCTGTAGTTACTGCAGATGGCTCGCACCGACTCGATGGCCTCCACAAACTGGGGGGTCTCGCGGAGCCCGTTGAGGTAGAAGGGAAACTGTGCGTATTCGATGGGCTCGGCCGCAGGAACTAGACAGAGATAGAGAGAGAGAAGTGGGGGTGGGGGGGGGGGTGAAAAGGTGGAAGTATGGTACAGTTCAAACAAGTGCACTATGTTATGTTACAGCTCACTTCGCTTCTTTATAGAAGGTAATTGGGACTGGCTGGTGGGCAGAGCTGATGCTTGGTCCCATGAGCCTTGGTGGGGGACTGGCATGGTGTGTGTGTGTGTGTGTGTGTGTGTGTGTGTGTGTGTGTGTGTGTGTGTGTGTGTGTGTAGGGGGGGAAGGAGGGCTGGTAGGAACAGGGCTCCATTCTCTCCAGTCTCAGCCTAATGATGGGCTATCAGCCCCAGACACACAGCAGAGTGTCAGGCCTGACGTTGATCCGCTGTAATTACAATGTTTGAATCACCACCATTACCCCACCCTCTCTCTCACACACACGCACACACACAGTCACACTCAAACGTACACACACTCATACCTGTCTGTCAAACAGGGAAAGCCTACACAGTTATGCAGTCAACTATGACACACACCACATTTGATTTGTAGTGACTATTGCAACACTGCCAAAACAGGACTCTCTTCTGTAGGGCACCAGACTTGATCAAACTAACATCATGCTACTCATTTCATTTCATGTGCCCTCTCCTTCACCCACCACACCCCACTACAATATCCATTCCAGATTGTTTCACATAATATTTCTTTTCAAAAACGTACGTTTGATCGAAAACATCCCAAAAATGAGAACCGCAAAGACCCTCTGTGGTGTGTGTGTGTGATCCAGTGCCTGGAGGGATAGACAGCACCACTTGCTAACATGGTTTGGCCCATTATAATCTCCACTATAAATTTCCATTAGGACTGGGAGTTGGAGCTCTGCCAACATAGCTCTGCTCCAGGGGGTTCCTGCACAGTCAAGCGTTCTACGCTGCTTAGCCAATCACATTTACACTCACTGCTTGTTATCCAATCACATCTCCTCCCTGTAACGCACTTCCTGCTTGTTATCCAATCGTATATCCCACCCAAGCCTTTGCTTGTTAACCAAACCTATTTCTCTTCTGCACAGCACTTTTCTCTCTGTGTGTCTGTGTGTGTGTGGTAAGGAAATGAGAACATGGTGTAGGCAGTGCTGGGGTCACTGAGTTTTAGGAGTGCATGTGTGTGTGTGTGTGTGTGTGTGTGTGTGTGTGTGTGTGTGTGTGTGTGTGTGTGTGTGTGTGTGTGTGTGTGTGTGTGTGTGTGTGTGTAATGCTTAGAGGCCTGTGGTGGTAAGAGTTTTCACCACAGGCACAATTAGAGTACCACAGCCTGCTATTCCCTGCCCCCTTAGCACTGCAAGTCGAGCCTTCACACACGCACACACGCACACACACACACACAGTACAGTACAGTATACTGTAAACCAGGGATCATCAACTAGATTCAGCCACGGGCCGATTTTGTATTGAGCGGATGGTCGGGGAGCCGGAACATAATTTGAAAATAATTTGTGGCGGTCAAATTGACCGCAAGAAGCCCAAACAGATATAATGTTTGACTAAAACATTTATAATTTCAAACCTTGTTTGCATTTGTATATGATCACGTTTCTCTCTATTATGTGTGGGAATAGGCCCTACTTGGGAACAGATTTCTTAAATCAAAATCACTTGGAGATGATTTCCTGGTGTTTTTACAGTCTTTTATGTCCAATAATGAAAATTCTCCCCAAAAATTGCTCAGATAACATGGGGGGCCAAATAAAACCCAGTTGGGGAATCCCTGCTGTAAACAGTCAACTACCTCAGTTAAAACCAGAAAGCAGAGAAGGGTCAGTAACTCCACAGATGGAATAAAACAAACTAAACCATGAAACAGGTACTTTAACATAACTGCAGCTCAAATGTAATAAAGGCGTATGGAAATGGAAGTTGAGCAAAAGAGGTCAAATGTAATGCTCAAGGAGAAATTACCCACACAATACTTAGGACCACAAAACATAACAAGTACTGAATAAATGTCAACTCTAGAGGTCCAAGAGAAGTTGTTCCTGCACACTTCTTACATTCAGTTCCAATCTGTTTTTTTATTTAATTGCCAAATCAGTAGGCCAGTGTGCCAAATAATTATTGAGAGCAAATAGCGTATGTCTCATATGATTGGCCATTGAGAGGCGTTTGTGATAGTGAAGTGTGCTGTGATTGGTCACTCACTGCTGAGGCGTGTCTCGGGCATGGAGTCTGTGCGGTCGTGGAGCCACTCCGGGGGGTGTGGCCGTATGTTAGCCTGAGAGGCTGCGTACGCCACCGGGTCATTGCTGACCCACGCCGTCAGGTAGATGTAAAACGCCCCCGGGTTGATGATGCCATCCGCATCCACCAAGCGTTGCCTCGTCAGCTAGAGGGGGAGACAATAGTTAATATTTGAAAAGGAGGATAGAGGGAGAGGGAAAGAGAGGGGTTGGGAGGACGAGGGAGAAAGAAAGAGAGGAGGAGAGGGCAGGAGAGCGATAGTGAGTGATATTGATGGTTACAGATATAACATCTTAATTTGAGGCAGTTTTCTACAGCAGGAAAATAGTCATGCAGCAACAGAAAATGTGAATTACTATGTGGATAATAATTAATGGATATACTTTTTGTTAGGGCAAATCATGTCTGACATTTTAAAGTGGAAATTACAAACTTTAGAAGCCTTTATAAACCTTGAATACACTTTCTGCTATGTAGGCATATTCTCAGCAACAAAAGAGTGATTGAATTAAGATCCTACATCTGTAGCAACGGACGGGCATTGTAGAAACGACATGTTGACCCAAAACTTTCTCTATGTGAACCGACCGCAGAAATCCTGTTTATAACCGTGCATGAGCATGAAGAAAACGGACCAGCTTTAAAAATAAGCTAAAACTATTTCTCCCTCTCTCCAACCGAAAGAAAGGTAAACAGTCAAACACTGGTGCCTTCTGAAATTTCCCGTACTTCTCGGTGAACTTCCCAGAATTATTAGGCTTACATGGAAAATGGAAAATGTCAAATCAGCTTTCAGGCGGTCACATGTGTTAGTCTCCTGAAAAAATAAAGCATGCAGGTAACATGTTGGGAACAGCCTGCCTCTCCAACAGAACTAGCCAGGAAAGGCTAGCTCACACAGACCCTGATACAGCTTGCTACCTCCTAGTCCTCTGAGAGCTAACTAGCTTCCCTCGCTACTTTTTCTCACATTGCTAACTCATTTCCCATGCAGAACTAGCTGGTTACCTCACTTCCACAACATGGCTGGCTAACAGCTACCCTCGCCTCCCCCCATGGCTATAGCTGGCTCCCTCCCATGTGAGAGCGGGAAGCCTTAGTAGCTAGCTCCTGAAAGTAACAGCCATTACTGCACACCACTTCAAACTAGCGAGTTATTTTCTCTTACAACTACCTCAATTCCCTAACAGAAGCAGCTAACTACCCAGAGCTAACTAGCCTAGTGCTAGCTTCCCCCCTCTCAAGACTCTGAGGGCTGTAGCTCCCTCCCCTGTGAGAGCGGGGGGCCGTAGCTAGCTACCTCCATTACTGCACACCACTCTATGCCACTCGCCCTTCTCAGTACAATAAATCCCTCGTTCACAGAGGCAGGGTTAGGGGTGAGGGGGAGTCCTGGGGGTAGGTAGGGGGGAGGTGTGGAGGGGAGGAGAGGGGGAGAGAAAAATTGCTTGAGTTAGTTAGCGTAACAATAAAAAAATTGGCTGGGGTCCCTGTGTGCGTCTGTGTGCAGTTAACCTCGCTGTTAACACTGAAGGAAATGCCACCCAGCAAATGGAGTAGAGCTATAAAAATAACACAGCATCTGTACAAATGTTGCTCGTGCTTGCTTCTCCTGACCCCTACGGATACCCAGAATGCCCTGCACCACAGTCGGATCCGGACCGAGAAGAAAAGGGCTCTTGATAGCAGTAGCAAAGGCAGCCTCTCTCTCTCTCCCACTTTCCCTTGCTTGCTCCTTTTCCCTCTCCTTTCCACCCTCTTTTGCCTCACTCTCTCTTTCTCTCACCCTTTTGCCCCTCTTTTTCTTTCCCTATCCCTCTCTTTCCCTCATCCTCTCTCTCTCTTTTCTTCTACTCACCTTTTCTTTCTCCTCTTTGCCTCCCTGTCTTTCTCTCCACTTCACTCTCTCACTCTCTCTCTCTTAGAAACACACACATTGCCAACATTCAAATAATTCCCTTGGCCATAAGGAACGAATGGCCGTCCAGTGCTGGGAGAAATGTTAGCAGAAACACATCAAAGAGAAAATGCCTCCCCAGAAAGCTGTGGTGTGGCATATCAAAATAAAACATCTAGCTTTGCAATTTGCCGGGGTTGGAAAATATCTGTTCTTAATTTGACAGGGAAAAAAATACAGCTACTACTGTACAGTATATGCGTGCACACTTTGACAAAAAAATTTACTCTCTCGCTCTCTCTCACACACACACACACGCACACCCGCACACCCGCACACAGTGTTGACTCAAAGACATCACGAGCTTCAGCTCTTCTCCACTCATTGAAAGGGGACACGGCAGCAGAGCACAGAGAAAATAAGAAGATGGAAGAGAGAGAGAGAGAGAGAGAGAGTGAGAGAAAGAGTAAGAGAAAGAGAGAGACAAGGAGAGAGAGAGAGAGAGAGAGAGAGAGAGAGGAGGAGAGAGAGAGAGAGAGAGAGAGAGAGAGAGAGAGAGGAGAGAGAGAGAGAGTTGAATTCCAGAGGTCTGTCTTGCATTAAGCAGCAGGATACGCAACCACTGTATGTCTTCAAGCTGTCACGGGAAGCCCATGGAGCACGGCTGACGGCCCATCGCACTGCAGCCAGCTCCGCTTCCCTCACAGGCACAGGAAGTGACATCACAGGGCCGCCCGCACACCAGCATGCCTCCCAGGTTGTTTCGTGACATCTATGCCAGTGGTTTACCAACAACCAACTAAAAGCAAAAGCCCATCCAACTAACAGAACAACATCTGTAGCAGACCCACCATTTCGTCGCTTTCTGATGAAAACCTTGTAACTCAATTTTTGCCCACATTTTTTATTTTATTTTATTGAAAGCAGTAACTCCCCTCAATGCACTCTGAAAATTTCATGATTCAAGGACCAAGAAAATGTATTCAAAATAGCTTCTGAAGTTTCATAAGTGTATGTTCATTAACGGTACTTTTTTTCAATTTCCTGAAAAGTTTCTGTTTTGGAGATAAGAGGTTTTCATCAGACAGCGACGATTTGGGAGATACTGCTAGGCTACACTATTAGCCACATAGTGGAGGATCTAGGGTACGCTTCAACGATTCATCACACACACTCACCAACACACACACACATATCTTCAGACTCCAGGGGGCATGATATTGTCATCTATCTTCCTCTGTCTGGCAGCTTACTATTACACCTAGCCCTAACTAGAAACACTGTGAAAGTTATCTGATGCAGAAGGGAACACAAACACATGCACACACACCATGGTTAGAGTTGGGTATCTAGCCTGTAGCTAGCAGCAAATGGGACAAACGGTTTGAATTAAGAGTTAATAGCTTTTTCAGAGGTGGGTTGCAGCCCCGGCGAGGGCTTTAAATTCCTGGGCTTGGTAAAGTCATCAGCAAGAGAGAGAGGGAGAGAGAGAGATAGATGAGAGAGGTATAGAGAGAGAGATGAGACGAGAGATGAGAGATGAGAGAGGGGAGAGAGAGGAGAGTACGACACCTGGGAGAGATGAGAGAGGAGAGAGAGAGAGAGAGAGGAGAGAGCGTCGAGAGGGAGAGACGACCGAGGAGAGCAGATAGAGTAGAGAGAGAGGAGGAGGAGCGGCGAGAGAGAGATGACGAGAGAGAGAGAGAGAGAGAGAGAGAGAGAGAGAGAGAGAGAGAGAGAAGGGCCTGTTTATAAGCCGGGTGTGGCTTTCCTAGGCCCGGCCACAGACCTCGACTCACACGCACACCCACAAAGGACAAAATGGCCTCTGTGACACTCAGTATCCCATTCTCCAAGGCTTAATCAAAATCCAATGTTGTACAATCCTACTGTACCACTGCTACATGCCAGGACAAGAGATGAGAAGGACAGGATAAGAACGCTACAGAGCATCATCAAGCATTCAAATAGTTCTGCGTAAGTCAAATAGGTTCGCGACATACAGTATCTTCCCTAGGCAGATGTTGACAGGCTTGCTTTGTAGTAATCATCAAATAATAACCTGGTTAAAGTGAACGACTTACGATCCCACACCCACCTGGTTTAGATAAAGGAGTTTTGATCATACTGTACACCCACCTAGTTGACTCACTTTTTTTATATAAATGGGTTGGAGACAAGTCACCAGGTTGAAGTGAATGGGTTTAGCCTGGTTTTAATAAGTGGGTCTCATCAGGCTTTTGCCTGGTAGTAGCCCTTTACACTCGTACCCGTATACTGGTTGAAATTGGCTGATTTCGACACTGATAAGCGCCTAAATTGGAATGCAGTGGCTGTACAGTAACATGCTATACATGACGTCAGAGCTCTGGCTCTGCACTTCACAGCGCTGTATGGGTTTTGACTGACAGCCGTTATAAACTTGAGCACCGTGCGCGACAAGAAGTTGGCCCCATCCCTCCAGCTAATTGGGCAACTTTGTTAAATGTTTTGTTGTCTGAGTGAGGGAAATGCGGTAAATTACGAGACGTTGAGGATTATAATAAACACCCGTTTACTAAATGTGCCCTTCACATTTCCATATCATAAAACTCATGTCATATACAGTGTCAATGTTTATGATAACTATGTTTGATGTACAGCTACAAGATGACATGGCGTTATACCTTGGGTTGTCCTGAACAGAATAAGCCTATGTTTGTTGTGTTGTGAAGGAAAGTTTGCGCTCGTGACCACGCATCGGGAC